TTCGAAGCTTGAAGGGTGGCATATACGCCTTCGGAAGAAACTTGGCCACCTGTACTATGAATGGGGACCGAATATATTATTCACGGAGTCCGAACTTATGAAAGTACACAGAAACTTTCATCATCCTGATTCTGAGGGCTTTTATTCCGTAATGAGCCGTGCTGAATCCGATAAGACATCACCGGAAGTACTCCGGACCTTGAAGCGAATCAGCTCTACGTGCGACCTTTGTCAACGTCGCAGTCGGGCCCCTCATCGTTTCAGAGTTTCATTACCTGATGCGGATGTAGTGTTCAATCGAACCTTATGTTTGGACCTTATGTATCTGGAGAACACACCAGTACTGCATGTTGTGGACAAGGACACCAAGTTCTCTGCAGCTGCGTTCCTCGGAAAGGAGACTGCAGACGCAACTTGGAACACTTTCATGAACATTTGGGTATGTGTGTACATCGGTTTTCCCGACGCGATGGCAACAGACCAAGGACCACAGTTCAAGTCACAACGATGGAAGACGATCTTGTTGTTGGCGGGAATCAAGCACTTCCAGTCTGGGGTGCAGAGTCATAATGCTTTGGGCGTTGGAGAACGATATCATGCCTTTCTCAGGGATATATATCGCAAAGTCCGACTCCAACACCCAGGGATTGAAAGGAGTCACTGTCTGTCGCTGTCATTAAAAGCAATGAATGACACGGCAGGATATCATAGTTTGGTACCTACGTTCCTCATGTTTGGTGCAATTCCAAGGATACCAATTGTTCCTATGGACTTACCCGCGCAGATGAACCGTATGAAAGCTATGGAATCTGCGCGAAAAGAGATGGCGTCTGCTATGGCCAAGGAACGAATTTCTAGGGCCGTGCGCATGAACGTCCCATCCGCAGAGGACAATGATATTGCAATAGGCTCTCGTGTACTTCTCTATCGAGAAAAGGCAGAGGACCAATGGACTGGACCATACCTTGTTCTTGATGTCAAAGACAAGAGTGTAACGATACAGCTCGAGGGAAAGATTATGAATGTATCCATCGACAAAGTTAAATCCTACAACAGCCCTCCTGTTATCCCAGACTGCACACCGCTTGCAGTGAATAACGATGATTCATACAATTTCACTGCCGACAATGAAGATGTGTTAAGGGATGTAGACACGATACTTGAAAGAATCAGGGGGACGCCTCCTCCAGCACCAAACGAGTTTAGCGATACTGCGCGACAGGATGCAAATGTGCCGTTAAGCACCCCCGAGATGCTCACAAGAAATGAGATCACGTCTGTAACGCAAGCACTCATGACACAGGTCATTGATCAAAGCGACATCGCTACAAAATCGTCTAAGTTCTGTAAGGCCATGGAGGAGGAGGTGAACGGACTGCAAAAAATGGAAACATAGCAAGTAATTCCCAAAACGTCGTTGCCCCACAAGGCAAATGTCCTAAGTGGTCGTTTCGTCCTCACTTTGAAGAACTTCGGTTCCGCAGACGAACGCGCTAAGGCTCGCTACGTTGCCCAAGACAACCGCGATCGAGGAAAAGCACATATGGTCCACAACATTACGACTCTACGTCAAAGTTCGACTCGGACTATTGTGCCGGTATCTGCGATGAAAGGATTTCGCCTCTTTTCTCATGACGTGAGACAAGCCTACCTACAAAGAGAGGACAAACTGACACGCAAGGTGTTTCTCCTCCCAAAAAGAGCAGATCTGAAGTATTTTGGTCTTGGTGAGGAGGACATACTCGAACTTCTTAAACCTATATATGGCATGACAGACGCTGGAGACTACTGGGGAGTTACAGTTGACCGTCATGTCAAGTATGACTTAGGCTTAGTTCCTCTACTTGGTGATTCCTCCTTGTATGTGAAACGAAACGAGGAAGACCTTGACGGACTGCTTGGAATGTACGTGGAAGACAGTTGCATTGGTGGAAACGATGATATGCAAGAGCTTACCAAACTTTCTCTTAAGAAGTTTGACTCAAAAGAACGACTTTGGGATAATTTTGAGTTCTTCGGAACCTGTATCAAAACCTATCCAGACGGCTCCTTCTCAGTTACGCCGAAAGAGTATACAAAGAAGCTTAAGCCTATACCAATGGACGCATCATTTGCACGTTTTAGGTCTTACCGGTCTGTTCTTGCTTGGATTGGCTACACACGTCCGAACGCTCTCTGTGCCATTAGCAAAGCCGCACAAGTAACGGAGAAGACTCTCGGGACGGAAAAACTAAAAGCTTTCAATTGCACGATTAAACATCTAAAGTGGACACATAGCAGGTGTTTAACTTTCTTCTCATTGAAAAAAGATTCTCTTCACATGAGGGTTTACACTGATGCTTCTTTTGCCAGAAACGATGATCTTTCATCACAACTCGGGTTCATAACTTTGCTATGTGATAGTTCAGATCGTGCTCACATACTGGAGTATTCAAGCAGAAAGTCGAAAAGAGTGGTCAGGTCTATTTTAGGAGGAGAGGTATACGCTTTTGCATCCGGTTTTGACCGCGCCTTTATTATGAGACATGATTCGGAGACAATCTTTAAAATGAAGATCCCACTTCACATGCTGACCGACTCACTTCAGATGTTTGATGTGATTACCACAGGTTCGTCAACGACTGAGAAAAGGCTCATGATAGACATAACATCTGCTAGGGAATGCTATAACCGACAAGAAATCTCGCACGTAGGCCTAGTTTCGTCGGAACACAACATAGCAGACGGTCTCACAAAGGAAACCCCTAACAATGCCCTTGAGAACCTAATAAATTGTAGTTATGACTGCAATCCGGTGAAGAAGTGGATTCATCGTACACAGCCAAGTTCTGCCATCGGAAAAGTGGCAGTGTGAAACAATGTATGATATAGAGGCGCATCCATTTCTCTAATTGCTGGATGCGTCAGAACTTGTCTTTCTTTTTGATACTGTAAGGGTTAAGTAGTATATAAGTAGGGCTCGCGCTGCGGACTGTAGGTTCGTACCGGGCCAGAGGTTTGTGTCAAAACACAGAGCCTACCTGCAAAAACTGTCCGACTGCACGGACTTTGCACGGGCTCGGACGGTCGGTCGTAGACCTGTCCATTGACACTTTAATAAAAATCTCTTTTTCTAATTCTTTAGGGAATTCCTCACGAAATCCCACACCACAGGCCAGCCACAGACTAGGCCACACCATTTGAGGTAGGTAGCAGCGCCAGGACCGAATAAAAGCTCGCCGTCGTTCGCCCCGCAGCCGCGGGACGACCTTGGGCACGAGACTCACTCCGTCACAGCAATAATATGTGCGTTGTCAATTGACAACTGTTCAAAAGATCTATTCAGGGGCGAATACAGTTCAGGGGATACCGTAGGACTATAAGCGGCAACAGTGCCTCATACGATACAGTACACGTACCCTTCCCTGGGAGGGTAATTTGGAGTGCGAGGGTGATTTGGAGTATTGATTTACGCTAAAAAAAAGCGGGAGACATTATAACTGTACAGTACTCGCAACCATGTCCAATTTCCAATTCAGTGTCCAAAAATTGGCTGAGCAGTGGCGAAAACCGTACTCCAAATTACCCTGCATCGTAGAAAATCAGACCGGCTGAGAGTGGAGCGGAATCTTCGAGCTAAATTGTTTTCCGTTGTTTTCAGCCAGGTTTTGATGCATGGACGTGGTTTCCGACACCATCAGGCAGCGATTGGTTACTCATAATCGCGTGAGGTCCATGTGAAGCACTTTTTTCATTTATATTGTTTGAAATTCACTCCAAATTACCCTCCCTGGGAAGGGTAACTTAGTCTCTCTTTAAAAGAATGACCCGCAAAAGAATATTCTTTTTAGTAGAATACATACACTGTTTCCCGTCCTGGGAATGGCCAAAACAACCCTATTTTCATGACATTTATTCATATGCGACATAAGAATATAGTATGTCGAATGTCGCTTTATCCCATGAAGTACAGTATGTAGAAGGGAACGTATTTTGATAATGGTCTGACGGATGTTCCGAATTTGGCTGTACTGTACTACGCTACCTTCGGTGCATCAAAAGAGATCTCTTGAGAGAGCTGAGATCAGCTGCCAAAGTGCAAACGCAGAAGCAAACGAGAATTGATTCCTTCTTTTCAGCGGCCAGTAACCTTGCTGGACAAGCATCATAACTGCCGCCATAGGAATATTCTCTTTACATGAATAATAATGTCCTTTCCTGTCCTCATTCTTATAAAGAGAGATTACTGTATAGTATATCGTAGGAGGCACTGTTGCCGCTTTATATATATTCTATACTACTGTATACACTGTATACAGTAGTATAGAATATATATAAAGCTGTATACTATACAGTAATCTATATCGTAGGAGGCACTATTGCCGCTTTTCCGTTTTATACAATACTGAGCCTACAGTATCTCCCGTCCTTATTCTTATAAGGGGGGAAGCACTGTATGCCGATGACGATGCGATGTCGGAACTCGCTGAGCGCACACCAGGTTACATGACCTGGTGTGCGCTCAGCGAGTTCCTGCGCAGCACAACAAGGTTACTTATATACCCCGGGCGGGGGGGAGAGAGTGAGTGAGGAGAGAGGTTTCACGCTTTCCTCTCAACTGCTAAGACTCGCAAAGGCTCTACTGGGAGTTATTTCTCATCAAGACGTACCCAAAATCACGACGAACTCTCAACCGCTAATTGTCCGCTGGACTTCCATTTCGACCTCGACTACCCCTATCCGAGCCCTATTTATGCTTAGTGCAGATCGGCCAGGACCGCAGCATGTCTGTCGCCGACTTGATTTCACTGATTGGCGTCCCCTCAGTGGCCGACATCTTGGCAGAGCGGAAGGCTCGCATGAGGCATAAAGAAGTTATGACTCTCACCACGCGCTGCAAAAATGAGCTCCAGGATTCAGCAAAGGAAATTGAACGAACAGTACGGTCTATCGCGCAGGAGCAGGCTGCGAACGGAACGAAGTCGCGATTTCCGGATGAGACTAGTTATCGAATGTATCTCATGTATGAAGTTGCCTCTAGCATCGATGTGGTCCTCAGCGCGATGAAGACTAAACGGGGTAGCTCGGAGAAGACGTACTACGTGGTAGCTATCCAGCGAGATTGCCCTGACAAAGTCGCCAAACTCGTAGAGTTTTGCGGATGTTTATCTGTATATCCGGGTATTTCGATACGTGCAGTCATGAAAGGTCATCGCGAAAAGGACAAGCTGATGCACATGGCATCGTCCTGGCAAAAGCTCCTAGGTAAAAGGATAGATTTGTCGGATATGTCAGAGGTAAGGATCGTCGGTGATGATGAGTTTGATCACAGCCGACGGATGGTTCACTTGATCGGCGACAGCGGATCAGGGAAAACGACTATATTTAATGCACTCACGGGAGCCGACGAGCGAGTCACACAGAGTAGCACAGGTACGTTCGGATGCGCTATCGGCGTTCGACGCGACGGAGGGAATGATTACAACATCATAGACACGCCAGGCGTTCGCGATAGTAACGGACTTGATTCGTCGAATTCGCAAGCGATCGCTGGCTTTGTGAGCAAAGCTCCATACGTTGCTTTGGTCATAATAGTGATTGACGCCAGTGCGCGCAATCCTAGCAACTGGGCCCCGTTTAAGGAGTATTACAAGGAGCAGTTTCCCCCGAGCGTGCGAAAGCAAATAGTGTTCACTACCGAGGCTGGCAATGAAGCAGATATGGAGGGGTTCTTGGAAGAGCACGAGTACGGACTCGACTCAGTTTTTAGCCCCGAAGAACTCCAAAGTGCTCTGATTATTTCAAGGAGCCGCGCTAGAGCAGGGCTAGTCCCGAAGCACGTACTGACGGCGATGTTGAGCAAGGCTTCCGATAATAATACAATGACTTTGACAGCTCAGAGATTCTACGACCGCTTTGAGCGATTATACAGGAACGAGCTTGCGACTAGGGATGCAGCCATTCTTGCTGCAAAGCGGGCGACATTTGCGATCTTAGACGACGTCCGAGAAGACATGGGTAGTAAGGCCCTACACATAAGTCCACTTGGAGACCAAAAAGAGAACAACAAGTCCGTGGCAGTTAATTGGGTCAGGAAGGCGCGCCCCAAAGATCATGTCAAGCGGTCGTGGAGGGTAATGTTGACAGCCGCAGTGGTCAGGCCCACTACTATCTACCAATTATTGATACCGCACGACTGGTGGTCAGAGATCAGAATCAGCACTATTCGGTGCGACCCTCCGTCGTGGTACAACTTTGATCACAGAGCGTCAAAGAAGTTAGGTTGGTATAGCGTCGATGGTGACGAATTGATAGCCAAGCTCAAAGAGAGTGACAGGCCCACGCTAATAGTGCAGTACCAGCGTACCACTCGTGATTACGCAGCGCTCGGCAAGAGCCTTGGCTGGGGAACCCCGCCCCCAGCAATCGACACGGCGAAGATGATCGAGTCAGTCACTCAACCATGTGAAGATGGCGAGACCGAGATTCCTAGAGATGTAATGAACAACTTAGTGAAAACTAGACCTATATAACCTAATTTAGGGAAATAGGCTATGCTTCGTTTAGGTAGGGTCAGAACTGGGGCGGTTTGGAGTCTAAACCGCCCCAGTTCTGTTTTAGAGTCTAAACCGCCCCAGTTCTGTTTTAGAGTCTAAACTTTAGACCGCCGGGATCTGGCAGAGCAGCTGGGGTGTTTGCTCGCATTGACGTTATGTTCGATCTCATGTATGCCAAGCGCGCCGTCGTGCATTGGTACGTCGGAGAGGGTATGGAGGAGGGTGAGTTCTCAGAGGCCCGTGAGAACCTTGCGATGCTCGAACACGACTATGCCGCAGTTTCCGGTGAAGCGGATGAGGATGAGGACGAATACTAATTCGGAAGGATTCCTTGATAGTACCCTTCGAAGGTTACGCATGAGCAAATACAATCATTACATTTCTGAAGCCAGGAATAAAACTACTTTTTATTGCAGATCTCATCTCGTGCCCGGTTAGCAATTGTACATGTCGCTCTGCGTCCGCTACTGCGGACGGTCTTTACGAAGTGAACGAGACGATGCTCTTGCGCAGCAAAGTTACTGAGCTTTCTTTCTGAACATACTATACTGTCTTCGCCTTGGCTCTGTGTCACACTGGCCGATACGGACAATTCGTGCTGGCACATATGATGGCCTCGCCGTTACGTTGTTTATTATGTATCTCGACAAAGAGCCAGAAAAAGTAATAAGCGTGTTGAAACAAAAACCACTCAGGCCTTAGTCACAAACCATCCCACAACCCTCCCTCCTTTTCCACCCGTCTCTTCGCCTTCTCGAGGTTCTCTTCATCCTTGAGGCTCTCTAAATAGTGTTCAGTATCCTCCTTGTCCGATGACTTGATCTGATACATCCTAAAGGCCAACTGCTGCGCTAGCATAGTGACGGCGCGATCCCAGTTCTCCGTCGGCGACGTCGAGTACCCTTCCTCGAACAAGAAAGCCGCCAGCTCGCCAATCCCCAAAAACCGAGACTCCGATGCAAGCAGCCTCGTCGAGTGAAATTGTCCGATAATAGCAGGATCGGAAATATCCTCTTTCGTCAACATCGGTGTCTGCTTCTTCTCTATCTTGGTGGCTATATACAGCCGCCCGACGCTCGGCTCTGTCGGGCTCGGGAATATCTCCATTGCATGTCTGGAGATGGTTGCATTCGGCGGGATTCGTGCCACCGGTAGCAAACACAGCCCAATGAGGACACCAGACGGGACCTTCTCGGTCTCCTCCTGGCCATAAATCGTGGGAATGGAGGACTCCGAGGTTCGGGCATCCTCGTTAAAGCTCTCGGACAGCCTCGCAAACAGCTGCGTCCTCTGCGCGGCGGCGGCGCCCGGGACCTGGTTGAGCCGGACTGCGAGCTGCGAGGAGCGGTGGTCAAAGACCTGCAGCACGAGGACGTCCGAGTTGGGCATGACGGGAAGGCAGAAGGTCTGGTTCCAGACGGGGTCGTTGGTGCAGTTGAGCACGCGCGTCGCGCAGTTCGTCGGCACGGTCACGTCTTTGTTCCCCTTCGGAACCATCACGCCCAGGTGCACGTACGGGTTGGTCGTGACCGGCGTATCGGAGGAGGCGTGAAGGTCGGCGGGGTGCAAGCGCGCGCGCTGGATAGTTATTACGGCTTCGTAGCCCAGACGGTACTTCATGATCAGGACGGTTACGCCGCCTCAGCATGCTAGGGAGCGGCGGGGAGGGCTGTGCGGAGAACTGGAAGGCTGGGCTTAGTCCGCCCGATCCTTTGCACGACGATGACGATGACCAGTGTGCTTATTGCTAGCGGTTAACCGTGAATGCAATTGGGGTAATTGACGCAAAGGTGGAGCACGCTGTCTGGGCTCTGTGAAAACCGACAGGTTTTCCGTTGGAGATGGCAGCTAGCTTGCTACGCACAAGAAGCTAAAGGGAAGAGCAGCAGAGGCTCCGCAGCTGCGAAATTCTGCCCTCTGTGAGATTAAAAAAAATGCGGTTTTTTTGAACAATTAACAACGGCGAGAACAGGGTACGGGGAGCAACAGCAACGACGATGAATGCTGCATCCAATCGCGTGGCTCACGCCTCAACAAATGAACAATTGATGTCCATTGTTCTTTTGAACAATTAAAAATGAACAATTGATGTCAATTGTTCTTTTGAACAATTAACAACGGCAACAACGGCGAGAACAGGGTACGGGGAGAACAGCAACGACGATGAATGCTGCATCCAATCGCGTGGCTCACACCTCAACAAATGAACAATTGATGTCAATTGTTCATTTGTTCAGGCGTGCTCTGTCTCGATAAAAAGATACGAAAGATGTGCTTTTTCTGGGAGTTGAAACACCCCGCCTGTAGAGACTTACTGCTCGATGACTAGGTTTGGGTCGCTAGAGTGGATGGCGGAAGGGAATTAAAATCTTTGCAATTCTTAGTGCGGTAGAAAGTAATGCCACACACTGCTTTTCTCTTGCTCATTCTGACGTCAGTATTGAGCCCTCTTTCGTGTAGAGAAGATATCAAGAATGGCTCAAAGTGGGCATCTAAATTCACTCGTCTCGATGCCGTAATGAACGTGAGAGTTGCGTTTTTGTGTGCGCACACTTGGAATTAGGAAAGTTCGGATTTCCCGTCAACATACAGTAGTCGTTCTCGATTGGCTGCAGTACCGCCATTCTCCAAAAATCCCATTTTCTAAAATATTAGCGACTAAAGGTAAAAATTCATGGCTACAAAGTACAGTAACCGCACGGTAGCCGAGATTTGCAGCACGGTCTAGTGTCCGAATCATCATCCGCCCCACATCGCCTCACCCTGAACTCGCCCGCTGGAACCGGCGCATCGGGCTACATCAAACTTCTCTGAAACGAATCACCCCGATTCTACCTCCTCGCCTCATCCACCCGCATCCAAAATGCCGGTCACTGCCCCCGCCCTCCAGTACATCACGAAGCGGCTCGAATCCGCGCCCGACCCGGAGAAAGCGACTCTCACTGAAATCAAGGATCTCTACGACAACAAGCTCTGGCACCAACTCACGGAGGTAAGCGCGCTTCTCTCTTCCCCCTGCATCACCGATTCCGAATTGCTCCCCATCTAACACACTATCCCTTCCACTCCCATATCAAATGCTCGCAGAAAGTGAAAGATGTCGTCGACAACGCCCCGATCCCCAACATGCGTGACCTCTACCTGCACTTTCTCAAGACTCTCGAGAAAAACCTCAACCCCGTAACCCTGGTCCAAATCGTCACGCGCATCGTCCAAACCGAGTTGGACGCATCTGCGAAAGATGGCCTCGCCTTCCTTACCCCTTTGCTCGGCGCCGAAAACCAGCCCACCGTCTTCACTAAAAACCCCGAAGCCCACGTCCTTCTCCTCAGCCACGTCGCCTCGCTCCAGATGAAGGATTCGGACAACCCCGCCTCGAAGCGCACTTTCGAAAAGGCCTCGGAAATTGTCACGAGCAACGACATGACCGCACAAGTCTACTCGGTCTACTACCGCGCCGCTGCCGAGTACCACAAAGTCGTCGGGACCGCCGCTGACTTTTTCCAGAACGCGCTCCAGTTTCTTGCGTACACGCCTGCACACTCTATTTCCATCGACAGTCAGCAGCAGTGGGCCTTTGATATCGGCATGGCCGCGCTTGTCGGGAACGGCATTTACAATTTCGGTGAGGTCCTTTCCCACGCTATCGTCCATTCTTTGCGTGGAACGGAACAGGAGTGGTTGCTGCTGCTCTTGGAGGCTTTTAGCACCGGGAATCTAGACCAGTTTGATGCCGTGTGCAGCGCATCCTCTGATAAGATGGTCGAGCAGCCCGTTCTTGTAGCCAACGAAGAATTCCTGAAGCAGAAGATCACGATTTTGGCGCTGCTGGAATTGGCCTTTTCGCGATCGTTGGAACATAGCATCTCGTTTGAGGATGTGAAGAAGGCGTGCCGCTTGCCGCCCAGGGAGGTTGAGTATTTGCTCATGAGGGCGATGAGCCTCGGGCTCATTTCTGGTGTCATTGACAATGTCGATGAGCGGTTTACAGTCACCCGAGTTAGACCTAGAGTTTTGGGGCGGGAGCCGATCGGGCAAATGGCCCAAAGGCTGTCAAAGTGGTGTGGTAAGGTTGACAATACGATAAACTTTGTCGACGGTAGCAGCATTGGTATCGCCGAATAAAAAATTGTATAGGTGCTGTGCCCTGCTGCTTCCCTGACTTGTGGAACAACGCATAGTGCGTAGTCACCTAAGGTAAGAAACGGATCACGGGGGGAGGCAGAGACGAGGAAAAAGACTTGATATCCTTTAGGGGCGGTGTCCGGGATGGAAGATTACTTGCTGAGCCAGGGAGGACGACAGTGTAGCCAGTTTGGAGCTAGTTTCTGCAATGGCCGGTTGAAGTGATACCCATCAGGGCATCACGAATGCGAAGAAGCGCAAGTTTGCGCATCATGGATAGATTCATGGCCACTTCCACTATGGTCCGAGGACGCTCTGGTGGCTGTCTCCTTATCCACGAGGCTGTTTGAGAAGCGCTTTCGAGACGTTTTACTCTTTAGATGCTGGTAAAATATTACCCGAGCAGTCACCGAAGCCGATTGTAAAACCATTGCCAACTGCGTGGCCTTCCATAACTACAGTGTCACCATCCTGCAAAAATTTCCGTGTGGTTGGAGAATCACAGTTCTCTAATGCTATCTCCTTTGTCCCCTTCCAGGATAGCTCTAGCATTGAACCAAACGCGGACGCTTTGTAAGAGAAAGAACGGGAGTAGATAAATTACGAAATTGTCAGTAAGAGCAGATAGCTCCGGCACAGGGACACATATGGAGGAATTTTGGAGCTTGAAGTTTGGTGCTTACCATCTTCCCCAGATATGGTTCCGGATGCTATCAAGTCACCAGGTTGCATATTGCAACCAGTCACGGCGTGATGAGTAATTTGTTGGGCAACTGTCCAGTACAAGTTTTTGAAGTTACTTCTACAAACGGTGGATGGCAGCTCTCCTGCGACACTTTGCAGCTTCACAGTAAGGTCAATGTTGTATGTGCAATGTCCTCTCATGCTACTTTCCCCTCTCAAGTAAGGTAGCACCTCGGGGTCTTGTGCTTGCGGCTCTTGTTTAAACGGCTCAAGTGCTTCTAATGGAATAATCCATGGACTAATCGTCGTGGCGAAGCTCTTCGCGCCAAAAGGCCCAAGTGGCACATACTCCCACTTCTGAATGTCCCTCGCACTCCAATCGTTCATGAGGGAAAAGCCAAAGATGCGGTCGCCAGCCTCATTCATTGGTATCCGTTTTCCCAGTTCGTTCTCTGGACCTCCGATCAATGTCGCCATTTCGAGCTCGAAATCAAGCAACCTACAAGGAGCAAACACTGGTGGTGCTTCCGGATTCGGACGAAGTTGGCCGCATGGTCTAGTGACAGGAGTACCAGATACAACAACAGAAGACGCACGTCCGTGATACCCAATTGGCATATGAAGCCAGTTGGGCGGCAATGCGTTCTCGGGACCGCGAAACATTGTTCCTACGTTTCTGGCATGGTTCAGAGACGAGTAAAAGTCTGTGTAGTCGCCAATCTTTGCCGGGAGATGCATGGTGACATCAGACTGCAGCGGCATGAGTTCCGCCTGCATATCTTTCCCCGCCTCTTTTAAGCCACTCTGCCGCTTAGGAGCAGCAGAGAGTGCATCTTGGAGAGCAACGCGAACTTCAAGCCACGCTGGCTTTCCAAGTGCGAGGAAAGCATTCAGGGTTGCTTCGGAAAATATGGTTCCAGCGGTTTTGGCAGTGACGAGAGGTCCTGGGAAGATCTCTGGGAGTCGAGATGCCAATTTGGCGAGGTCCAGAACACGATCGCCGATGGCAACACATACGGAGCGGCTGGTGTCCTTCTGTGAGAATACGCCGTACGGAAGATTGTTCAGCGGGAAAGGGCAGCTGGCATCGCAGGCACTTGCAACAAAGCTTGGCTGCATGCTGTCGACTAAGAGAGTTGTCGTAGAGATACTTCACGTGGTAGGGAATGGATCAAGTCAACGAATCCCAGTTTTACTCATTGGTAGCAATTTCTCGATTTTTAGAGTCCTGTTTTTAAATCCTTCTCTAGTTGTGGTGAATCTCAGAAGCCTACTTACTGTCTCTTACAATGCCAAGGAGTGGACCGCTGTGTGCGAGGGCGAATAATGGCTGGGCGGAGGTACTTTGGGTTCTTGTTGCGATGACGGCGCTTGCGGCGCATTGTTGTCCTCCTCCGGGCGACAAGACATATCGCCAGAGCTGCTAGCGATACTGCTAGAGCTGCCAGAGTGTGCTTGCGGCTGTTCTGAAAGGGCATTGGCGAAGCGGGCATCACCGACAGCTCGAGAGAGGGGTCTTGGAATGTGGAACTCCAGTGCGCAAGGATGGAATGGGAAGTGGTGCGGGAGTGGTGGAGTGGAGAGGGGTCGAGAGGGCTTGATCAGATGGTCAAAAGTAGTCAGCCGGCGACCACTTTATCGGTCGCTGATTGCTCAAAAAAGTAGTCGAGTGATACAGTGTTATTTTCTGGATGCACCCAATAAGTGTAGCTGGCCGCACACTTGCTGCAGTTGTCAAACACGAGTCCCTGGACCGTGGGCAGCCTCCGACGGCAACGCAAGCAACAATATCGGGATGCTCTCGGTTGCTGCCTTCAACGGTACCGACTGTATACTGTAGGAGCCATGCATCCCCCCGCACAAACAGAAGGCTGCAGTGGGATGCAAAGCTGATTCATGAAAGCGGTCCTGCGACCCTGGATTGGCAACGAACCAAGACAAATATACAAGCTTGTTCTTCTTCCAGAAAAGTGTTTCTGTTTAGCGAATGTACCCTACATGAAAACACATGATTGAGCGCGGCGATGTACAATTGATGACATACACTGGCCGCAACTGTGCGCCCCAAAAGTTGCTGTCTTCACGAAAAAAAGCAGCACTGCAGATCTTGTCCATACCTCACTGCATTCAGCAAAAGATCAACTGTGCCACCACAAAAGCACCAAAAGCAAAACGCCCGCCATTCGTGCCTTCTTTGAAGAAGGCGCGCTCAAAAGTAGCATCCACTTCATACCTCGGCATCATCATCAAGCCTTTGAACAAGGCAACACTATATCTCACTACACCCGTCACAACAAACATGAGAGCACAAAGTTCGCTACATCGAGGGTCGTGCCCACATTGCAAGAGCAAACCGAGGAAAAGCACTTCTATTCTAAACAATTCTCACCTCCCGCAAAGCATGCAGCTTTGCCCATCACGCAGATCAATATTCACAAAAGCATCAGCGCCCATCCACCTTCACCTAGCCCGTCCACCGATAAAACTTGGCCAAAACCAAAAAAAAAGTACAGCAAAACAATCGAAGGCGACCCCCCTCACAAAACGCCTTGCAACCCCCTTCCATAATACCCCTCCCTCGACGCCCAAACGGTACCAATAGCCGTAGCGGCGCCGGCAGCGGCCCAGATAGCCGCCGTCCTCGGGCCGCGCGTGCTCTTATACAGCGCGCCTGCTGCCGCGCCAGCCGCGGCATAGTTAGTCAGCGTCTCATCACTGGTATAGTTGTACAGGATGCTCTCCGACAAGCAAAAAGCCAGGGCGAGAACGCCAAAAGTATTGGCCATAGCCGCGCCTCTCTTCCCCGTGCCGTTCAGCACGGCGTTGACCCTAAGCTTCGCGGCTTTCCCAGCGCTGTCGTGCATGGCGCCGTAGAAGCCGCGGCCGGCGCCGATGACGGCGCCGGTCAAGTACGAGCCGCCGGCGAGGTAGGTGAGCTGCTCGGTGCCCGACTTCTTGCGGAAGGCGCGGTAGTCCTCGGCGAAGACGTATTCGACGTCGTCCAACGGGCGCGCGCGCAGCGAGCGCGGCGAGAGCACCGACGGGTTGATGCGGCCCATCGAGCCGAAGTCGATCGCCGGCGCGGACGAGGACGAGGGGAGGGGCGTGTCGAATGCGTCGGCGGAGAAGGAAGGGGTCGGGGCAGTGGAGTAGATGTCGAAGGAATCGGCCGGCGGGGTGGACGCGTCGAAGTCGTCGTCGAAGGCGCTCGCAAAGTCCGACGGAGAGCCCGTACCGTACGGGTCACTCGACAGCTCCTCTGCAGGCCCGGGGGAGGCCTCGTCGGACGGCGGCGCGGTGCTCCAAAGCCACGACATACTAGAAAAGGGGGTGAAGTAACGGGGAAGGTAGGAATGTCAGGAAGGGGGGGAGGAAGGGGGGGAGGACGTAGGGAAGACGAACTGGCTACGCTGGGGTCGGTCGCTTTCGGAACAGAGGGCTGCGGGAGGCTGCGGCGGTTGCGGAGGGATGGCGTCACGGTGCGCGATCAGTGAATGATCAGGCGCCAAGTGTCTCTGCTCTGATTGGAAGAGAATTGGTATTCTTACAGTATCAGGATGAGAAAATTCGGCTCTGATTGGAGGAGAATCGGTATTCTTACAGCATCAGGAATGAGCAAATTCGGAGCGTTGCACAGCGGAAGGGCGTTGCATGTTTGCCAAGGTCACAATCAATCAACAGCCGCAGCCAACTCACCATCCCCCCCATCCCGGTGACCACTATCCCCACCTCACCCCGAGCCACCGTCCCCTCCCCCCCACCTTTCCTCAGCGCGACATATGTGAGCACGCCGCCGCTCTCACTCCATGGCGTCCCCCTTCGCGGTGAGCGACCTGCGCAAGATCGGGATCGGTCTAACCGCGTTCGGCCTCGCCTTCTCCGTGCTCGGCATCGCCTTCTTCTTCGACAAGGGGCTGCTGGCGATGGGCAACGTCCTCTTCCTCGCCGGCGTCATCCTCATCATCGGCCCGACCCGCGCCGTCCGCTTCTTCTTCCAGCGCCGCAAGGCCAAGGGCTCGGCCCTCTTCTTCGCCGGCATGGCCCTCGTCCTCCTGGGCAAGCCCGTCGTCGGCATCGTCATCGAGGCCTTCGGCTTCATCAACCTCTTCGGCGACTTCTTCCCCGTCGTCATCTCCTTTTTGAGACGCATGCCCGTCGTCGGCAACGTCCTCAGCATGCCCGGCTTCAAATACGTACGCAGCTCACCCACCCACCCCCCCCTGGCTTGCCTCTCTCCCCGCGCGCGTCACCGCCCTCACCGACTAACCGCGCCCCCATTCCCCCACTCTCACAGGTCGCCGACAAGCTGGCCAACACCGGCGGCTCCAAGCTGCCAGTCTGACCTCCCCGCCCCGCCGCCCGCCTTCGTCGTCTCCCCCGCCCTCCCCCGCGAAGCTCGAGCCCGCATGTCTACGTCGCCTCTGCGCCGCCTCAGTCCCTGCTGCGCCCTTGGCGCACTCTTCTGCATGCCCGCCTCCCCCGCCCACCTTCCAACCATCCCGCCTTAACTAATTTTTGTGCGTTCCCCCGTCTGCCTACTCACCACATCCGCGTCTCC